ATGGACCATCTAGGTAAAAGGAAGGAACTGGATCTCTTTATAAATCCACATGGATAAGCCTCAGAAAAACAATGTTGACTGACAAAAGCAAGTTGCAGTAAAGTACACAAAGCAAAATGTATTGTGTATATATTGTATGTATATACATAATACATGTACATATACATATGTATATAATACAAATATATGTAATATTTTAAAAACTGGAAGAATATATACCTAATTCACAATATTTTTCTCTTCAGAGAAGAGGAAATGGAACTGGAGCAGATGCAAAACTCAGATGTGAAACTTAGAGCATTATTTTTTTTTAAACCTTGAAGGAAATATATCAAAATGTTAGCAATTGCCACTACTGGGTTATGAGTACATGAGTGTCCATTATTTTGTTTTCTGTACTTCTCTGGGTATGTCTAATTTTTCAGCAATAAGGACACCGAGGATTTTGAATGACAGAAGTCAGGCTGGTGGGTCTAAATGTCTGTGTGATTTGTTTCCATAGGAATACAGAAGCACAAAGAACCTATGTTGTAGTCATATGCTGTGGCCCTGACTGGCCCTGCCCTTTCTTGGGTTCATGCTATTTCCAAGAATTAAAGATGCAATTTAATGATAGCTTTTCCTTAAGATTTGAATTTTGTAGTACTCATAAACCACACACATCTTATCCAATGTAATTTATAAACAGACTATTTATTCAGCTGATTACTTCTTAGATTGCCACCACTGTAATGAAAATGGGTGCAAAAATGAGAGATCTGCTGGTTATAACTACTTTTTACTAAGTTCCTTCTCTAATTGATCGTCTTGCCCATTAACAGGCTTTCAAATCTCAGAGGGGGAAATAATTGTGTCTTAATAGTATGTGTGCATATTACTTATCAACTCAGTCTCAACTATGGTTTGAAATTGGGTTGATGGTTGCTAAAAACGCAGTGTAACTGTTTCTTAGTCCAAACAAGAAGATACCCTGCTGTGCTGTCAAATACATACTTAGGAGCAGTCAAATCACAGACAATATAGTTTCTTCAAACCTGCAAATTAGTAGAAAGAGCACATCCTGCAGTGCCCCCTTCCCCGCTGGCATGCTCATCCCGCTCCAAGTTACCATCTTAAAGTATCCACCTGTGGTTTCCTGTAGCGACTTTGACCTTTTGTTAAAGATCCAACTTTACTAGGCAATTGATTTTTGCTGGTCTCTGGGGTAGTTCTGGAGATGGATTTCGCTGTAGTTGATATTATCCTCTTTTTAGGACTTTTGCCAAGTGAGAATGTATTGGTTAATGACCTTGTCTGGAGTGATGTACTGTGTATTTGAGCCATTGGAAGCGATGTGATTCTCTTCCTAATAGCTCAGTCTTGGACGCAGGGAGGAGAGGCATGAAGACAGAGGGGACTGGTGGAGTAGATGCTGGCCCGGTTCCCTTCCAGACAGCTGGGCCATGGACACAGCACAGACTCAGAGTCAGCAAACCTGGGTTCAGACCCCATGCCCACTGCACACAGCTGCAAAGCTCTGGGCCATCTCCCTGCCCCATCCAGATGGCAGTGTCCAGGCTGCCTTTAGCATTGCTGTCAGTGTTCAATGAGATCATGTGGGAGAACTATCCCACGGGTTTGACTCGCCCTGGGTGCTCAGCAAATCTCAGTACTCTTTCCCTTCTCTTTGCTTTTTTTTTTCCCCCTTGAAAAGGAACATCAGTTACAATGAATCTTATAGTGCTATACACTCTCTCAGATGGGAAACAAAAAAATTTGTACTATTCCATAATATTACATGAAGAACCTGGAGGCCTAGTCAGATTGAGTCATATGATCACTCATTCACCTTTGACTGAATGTCCTTCCTGTGTAGGGAACTTAGCAAAAAGCATGGCCTTACCTTCTAGACATACTTCAAGCCTAAGTTTGCTTGACTGCTCTGTAGATGTGATGCTGTCTGCCTGTCCTTCCTCACTCCCCAGACTGCCCCTGTCCCCCACCACCTCTGCACCTGGACTGGCAGGCACAATCTCTCCTGGTCTCCTGGTGGTGTTGATGTTCCCCAAGAGATCACGTTGACCTGCTTCTCCTCACAGGGACAGTCATATCCTCTCTCATGGCTTTTCCTGATCACATCTGTGCTATGTCTATAGCACAGATCTCTCTCCTGAGTTCTAAAACCATGTAAAATCATGTATTGAGTGACTCCACATAGGTGTTTTGTAGGCACCTGGGACTCAGCACACTCCAACCACATCTTCCCCAATAACCTCCTTTGCCCCTGTGTACCCCACCCATAGAGGCACTCAGACTGGAAACCAGCACCAAACTAAATCCCTTCCTCTCTCTAACCCACACCCCATCCAGTTACCCAGCACGGTCTATCCATTTCATAGAGACATGTCTCACATGTCTGGGCTCTCATTCTCTCTCCCCTGACACTGCCATACTTCAGTCCTACATTACTCACTGGGTCAACGTATGAGCCCTCTGCCTGTTTTCCTGCCTCCAGGCTCTCCAACCCCTGCACAGCCTCCACACTGAGTCACAGTGATGTCATGAAGCACAACTCTGGCCATGGAGCCTGTATACTTAACATCCCTGCATAGTGGGTAAATTTTGGAAGAGCTCAGACATGGGGCATGTTTCTTTTCCTATTTTACGTCAGACCCTGAGTTCCAGAAGACGGAACCTGGTGTTATAGTTCTCTGTATCCCCTGTAGCACAGCATCCTGAATAGAGTTTATTCTCAGCAAATGTTTCATAGACTCTTAATATGAGAGGCACCCTAAGGACACACTAAAGACCATCTAGTCCAAATCTCTCACATTTCAGTGGATAAAAACAGAGGCTCAGAAATGGGGAGAGAATTTATTAAGATTATACATTCTGCCGTGGTGGTATTCCCCACATATACATATTATTTTGAGTTTATACAGTGCTTTCACATATATTTTATTTGACCCTAGAAATAGCCTTGTGAGTTGGGTATGAATATCATAAATGAGAAAAGTGAAGTGACCCAGCTGCTGATGGATTGTCTTTTTTTTTTTTTTAATAGGAACTAGTGAATACTTCATTTTAAATAGACATTTTAAGTAGAAATTTATTTTAAATAGACATGTCTTCAGAATTGGAAGAGAGAAAGAGGAGTATCTCATGCATAGTTGGAAATCACCTAGGTCCTTCAATGCTATAATTACTTAGACTGTCTCATAGTAAGGTAATGCACAAAGTTAGCTAACTTACATCAAACCGCTAGTTGGAGAAATGTTTCATATTTGTAGAATCATGCCCAGGCTTTTACTAGTTTACATGGAGAGAAGTACTTTGGTTAGCTCTTACTCAGAAAACTATGTTCTGAGAACAAAAGCAATGGAAGGCAAATTATTTTGGCAATTATGCACTGAGATGTTGTATGTCTAAACTGAAGTTATCATATCAAAGCCTATATAGTCTAGCAATCTTGAAAAGGTAATTTTTTTTTCTGTTTCATACTATAAATTTGCCTTTTTAAAACATCAAGAAGTATGTGGTTGTGGTGGTGCCTTAAGAGGGATAAGGGCAGATTGAGGGAGATAAAATGTTTCTGAAAGTTTAATTCCTAGTCTTCCCCTCTAGCCTAAAAAACTGATCTGTAATAGATTTTTCTAATTCCATTATTTGAGAACAATTTCTTCTGAGTGGAAAATTAAAACAGAATTTTTTTCCCCAATCTCAAATTGTTGATCTCACATTGTTACATTTATTTTATTATGTATTTGACTTATTTTATTATGTTAATGTTATTTATATTTACATTAAATATAAAATAACATATTTTGATGGAAATACAAAGTGAGGTAAATGTAGGATTATGGTTGTAAGTGTGCAAAATTCAGAGTTTCTTTTTGTATTATTATTATTAATTATTTTTTATAAGAACAACTGTAAGCCTACTTTTGCCACACTGAATATAAGATCCTAGATGTTCTTGATGTTTAGAGTTTGTTATTTTTTAATTTTTTTAATTTTTAAAAATTACAGTTGACATACATTATTGTGTTAGTTTCAGGTGTACACCCCAGTAATTAGACATTACATAACTTAATAAGTGATTATCCTGAAAAATCTCTCACCCATCTGACACCATACATAGTTATTAGAATATTATTGACTTTACTAGTGGCCTGGTGCATAAAATTTGTGCACGGGCTGGGGGAGGTAGGGAGAGGTTCTCTCATCCCAGCCTGGATCTTCTCCAATCTGGGACCCGTTGGGGGATGTCAGACTGCCAGTTTAGGCCTGATCCCACAGAGATATAGCTTAAATTGGCAGTCAGACATCTCTCTGGCAATCTGGGACTGCTGGCTCCTACCAGATGGCCCCTAACTGCATCTGCCTGCCTGATCACCCCTAATTGCCATCCTCTGCCAGTATGATCTCACCCCAACTGCCCTCCCCTGCTGGCCTGATCTCACCCCAACTGCCCTCCCCTGCTGGCTTGATCTCACACCAACTGCCCTCCCCTGCCAGCCTGCTTGCTCCTAACTGCCTCTGCCTCAGCCCCCTCCACCATGGCTTTGTCCAGAATGAAGTTGGACATCTGAAAGATGGCTGGTCAACCTAGCCTAATTAGCATATTACCCTTTTGTTAGTATAGATAGATTATATAGGATAGAATTGCTTAAATGGGGGAGGAGCCTTTTTCAGAAATAGGAGATGCTCTTGGCAGACAAAAATACATAATCCCTATATCTGAACTGATAGTCAGCCATATGCACTATACTGCCAAACCAGTCATTAAAAAATTGAACTCCTTTCTTATACCTTACACCAAACAGTTGCCCTTAAAATCCCTCCTCATCCCCCACCTTAGGTTCTGCCTTCGCAGTTCACCCAGATTTGGTTCTGATTGGTCAGTTTCTATGCCAGTCAGCATCTCCTAGGTGGTTATATGGTTATATATATATATATATATATATATATATATACTTAATTCCCTTCAGATATTTGACTCTCTTCTTGTGACCCTATAGAGCTGAAAGCACACCCTATTTTGAGTCAAATACAGTCAATGGGAGCCTTGCCAAGAGTCGGCAGATACGGAGTGTGGATGTCACCTTGAGGCCTATTGATTGTGAACTGTCCAGCTGGTCCTCCTGGTCTAGGTGTGATCCCTGTCAGAAGAAAAGGGTAAGTACCCAAGCTTTAAGAGAGATCCTCTAAGCTTCCAGAATCCCTAATCCTCAGCGAAGATTGGCTATGGCACTTTGTACAGTGCCTGGCACGTAGTAGGACTGGGTAAATGTTGACTGATTTTACTAAGGAATTCTATTCCTCTGTGCTTCCAAGTAGCAAGTATATCCTTCCTTTGATCTTTTGGGTTGTTGTTTTTTTCTAAACATGTGTCCTTGATCATGTTAACAGCTTTCTAATTAGGTTTCCTGCCTCCAACCTTGCTCTTTCAATCCATCTTTCCTCATGCACCCAGAGGGAGGCAACATAAAAAAATGCAAGTCTGGACTGTCTTTTCCCAGCCTGAAGTCATTCAAAGTCTATCCAGGGCCCTTAATATGAAATCCATACTTCTAGTAGTAAAGGCTCCCTATGACCTAGACCTGGCCTACATCTCCATAAAATATCCCCCACTCTAGCATGTTGAACATGTGCATTTCTCTGACCATTTCACCCTCTCTCTGTGCCTTTATTCATGCTGCTTTCTCAGTCAGGAGTGACCTTTCCCACTTCCTTTACTGGCTAACATCTACTCATGATTTGAACTCTGCTTATGGGCCACTTCTTTTGAGGAGCCTTCCTTGATTTCTCAGCCCCACTTAAAGTTAGATAGGTACCTTTTTATGAGCTTTAATAGCTCCCCCTTTGGGTATCCTTGCACTTATCATTTACTTTTCTATTATTATTTTTATTATTACTTAGCTTTCCATTACACTGTGAACCACTAAAGGCTTACTCAATTCTTTATCTTCAGTGTATAGGCCAATTTCTGAAACATGATACGTGTTCAACAAATATATGTTGTTTGATCTCATTGTATGTTCTGATATCTCTGTAAAGAAGGAAGTATAGTCATTACACACTCTGTTAAACAGATAGGTAAATAGAGACTCAGAGCAGGTAACTGAGTTCTCAGGTTCACCTAGTAGCAAATGCAGATATTGAACTCAGGCTTATGGCTTCAGGGGTAGTGTTCAACCAATCAAAACACACAGTTTTGCGAAAACTGGTTTGGCACAGTGGATAGAGCATCAGCCTGCAGACTGACGCGTCCTGGGTTCAATTCCTTTCAAGGACATGTACCTTGGTTGCAGGCACATCCCCAGTAGGGGGTGTACAAGAGGCTGCTGATCAATGATTCTCTCTCATCGATGTTTCTAATTCTCTATCCCTCTCTCTTCCTCTCTGTAAAAAAATCAATACAATATATTAAACACACACATACACACACACACACACACACACACACACACACACACACACACACAGAGTCTCTGCAGTATTTGTACATCAGGCTCCCTTGTCCTGAGAGGGCTGGCCCAGGACCCCAGCTCTGAGAGAAGCAGCTGTGTCAGAGAACTGTTGCCATTTCCCCAGCTCCTTGGGAAGCCAAACCAGCCCCTAGCTAGGACCCCAAAGACACTGTGGAAGTTAGGCCCAGGACAATTACACACTTAATTGGATCAATGTGGAGAGCCAAGCAGGATCATTTGGTTCCCAAATTAGGCTTTATTGCTGAAGTTACCAACATTGATCCGATTATCTGGATAATTGCTTCATCTGCACCATAAACCAGGAAGACTCAGTGTGAGTCGCCCACTCATCCAGCCATCCAGAGCTCTTTACTTGGATCTTGTAGCACATTTCCCTCAGCTGGCATCGTCACTGTCAGCAGGCTCACTGCGGGGGCTTCATCCAAACCTTTCAAACTGGAATTGGGAGATGTCTTTCCTCCACCATTTTCACGCTTCTCAAACTAATCTTCTTTTTGGTGGCTGAGATAGTCTTCTGACAGTCTTCTTGCAGGCCTTATCCCTGACCTGCCAGCTTCTGACTTCTAGAAAGAAAGAGCCTATATATTAATTTGAAGATAGTATACAATTAGTAACTGTGGCTGGTTAACATGAAATTCTGCAAAGGGGCTGATAGCCTGGTTTGCCCACATTTTTTATGTATTTTTTAAAATTTATTTTAGAGAGGAAGGGAGAGGGAGAGAGAGAGAGAGAAACATCCATGTGAGAAACATCTATTGGCTATGGGGGATCGAGCCCAAAAGCTGAGCTTGAGCATGTGCCCTGCCCAGGAATCAAACCTGTGACCTTTTGGTATATGGGATGATGCCCAATCAACTGAGCCATACTGGCTAAAGATGGATTGCCTCTTTAGTTATACCAAAATCTTGACTGCAACTAGCATTTGGGAATACCCAAATCTGATCACTTCCTTCTCCTGCTGTAATTTCATAAAATACTAAATCCAACCTTACTGAGACCTGGAAGGCCTATGTTACCTGGTGCTGCTCTGTCTCCCTCCATCTCTTGCCTTTTTCCCTCTTGCACTCTTTATTCCACATGATGAATTTTGTTTCCAGGAACAAGGTCCATTCTCTCTCATTTTTCAGCTGTGGCACAGCAATTTCGTACACTGGACCACATTCCTCTCCCTGCCTTATACCAGCTCTCTGGGCTTGCCTGACATTTCTGTTCATCCTTTGGTCTCAGTTGAGATATTACTTTCCCTTCTCCTATGTTTGCATTTGGGATGCCTCTATGAATTTACAGAGCACTCTGCACTCCCTCCATTCTGGCACCCATCTCATTTCCCTGATATCGCCCACTGCCATCCCTACCAGCACCATCTATTCCCTCCTTGAGGGAAGCCTGGAGGACATTACTAGGAATAAAAACAAACAAAAAAGCAAGCATAAATAATACCTACTTTTGTCTTAACTATTGGGTGGCTCAGTCAATATTTTGGAAAGTCAATCAACATTCCTGGAATAAACTGGAAGGCAGAGATAGAGAAAGATTGACTAGTAAAATGTATTAATAATAAAAAATAAAAATAAGTACCAGAGATTGAATGCCAACTATGTATTAGATAACACAATGAGATTTCATATATACATTGTATATATAATAAAAAAAACTCCATAATTGTATGTTTAACGTGGTTCATTATCTCCATTTTAAGGATCAGTAAGCTGATATCATTGAGGTTAAGTAACTTACCCAGCATCTCATAACTAGACAGTATCAGAGTGTGTTGTGGGTCCCAAGCGCATGCTTTTGCATTAATAAGATACTGAGTAAATGAGAATACTTGAATCAGCCCATTGGAGTAATCAAGCTGAGAGGCTGTGGTTTTGTGTTATTGAATTGGCCATATTTATCTATTTACTACCTTTGGACTCCAGAGCCCATGCTTTCCCCACATTCAGCAAATCTTTACTGATCATTGCATATCAGAGATCAGACAAGGTCCCTGCCCTCAGAGAGCTCACAGGGTAGTTGAAATAGGCTAGCAACCAATTGCAACATAGACCTTAAAGGTATTCCTAAGCTCCCAAGGCTCCTGAGGCTCTGCCCTCCACTCACCTGACTCTCTCCCCTCCAGTACAGACATGCTGTCTTGCTGCGGCCCTCTCAGTTCCATGGGGATCCTTGCAGACTCTCCGACAAAGAAGCTGAAGATTGTGTTACCAACGCACCCTGCAGAAGTCAAGTGCGATGTGAAGGCTTTGTGTGTGCACAGACAGGTATAAAGGGCCACAGGACTGGGAGGGAAGAGCTAGCAAATTAAGCAACAACATGTGATGCTGGTGGCACTAGCCAATGCCTGGTGCACAAGTTCAGGGTCATGTATCAGGTAGGAGGCTTCTTTGTTTACATATCTCTACCTCCTTTCCCATGTATCACTTCAGCCCTATAAAGAGGATGTTATCCCCATTTTATGAATTAAGAAATTGAGACTTGGAGACATTCCTGGCCAAAGGTCACACAACAGGTAAATAGAAAAAGGTTCCATTAGAAATGTGGAATTCAAACCACACTCACAGACATTTCAGACACCAAAAGGCTGTGTGCTGGAATCGGAACTCCTGATTCAAGTCTCATTTGGACTTTGTGACCTAGGAGAAATCACTTAACCTTTCTGCATATTGGTTCTCTCAGCAGAAAATAAAAAGTGATGGTAAAACCTTACAAGTTTGTTATAGGGATCAACTGACGTGATGGGTATGAAACTCCATTCAGAGGGTGAGCTCTGCTGGCTCTCTCAGAGGCAAAGCCTGAGAAATCTTTGGAGAGATAGTTCCTGCCTCTGCATTTCTGCATCAGCAAGTCCAGCATAACCCCTAATGTGTGATATAGTCAGTAAAACATTCTGGAAAAAAGGAAGGAAGGAAGGAAGGAAGGAAGGAAGGAAGGAAGGAAGGAAGGAAGGAAGGAAGGAAGGAAGGAAGGAGGGAGGAGGAGGGAGAAAATAAAGGAAGGAGGGAGGAAGGGAGGGAGAGAGGAAAAGAGGGAGGGAGGAAGGGAGAAAAGAAGGACAGATGATGGACAGACAGAAGGAAGGTAGAAAGAAACACACAAATAATCAAAAGCTACAGGACTAAGAAAATACTTACCTTTTCAACTCATTCATCTGGCTCATTCAAGAAAATATATGCTTCTCTATTTCTCCAAGTGTCCAGAAAAAAAAGAAAAAGAAAAAAAAAACAAGAGTATTTTGACCCAAATTCTCTAGGTAGGAGCTACAACTCTGCATCTACTGTATCCATGCAGATTGTGCTTTGGGATCTTTCAAGAAAGAGTGAGGGATTTGTAGAAATATTTCTAGGGCTGATTGCAAATGCAAAATTCCATCCAATAAATCTGAAAGACGTTTTTACAATGTGTCTACAGATTGATTATACCAGTGTTATATGATTCTGACCATAATGGTTATTCAGGCAGGCTTTAGTTTAAATGCCTTGTAAGAAATATCTAAGGACCAGATTGTTATTCTCCTGCCTTTAACACCTCAAGAACTTTGGTTAAAAGTAACCAGACACATCTAAGGAACTGTCACCTGTATTATGAGCTTTATTTCCCAAGAATATATAACTAATAAAGGAAGCCAAGTTAGTCAAGTGCTGCAAATAATTTCAAACATATCATTCAAATATGCTTGAAAAAATAGTTCAAATGGCTATGATGCTGAAGGCAGTGTGGGTTAGTGGAAAGAACTTTGATTAGACAGCCATAAGTTCCAATCCTGCTGCAAATATTTACTGGCAATGGCCACATGGCCCACAAAAACACTAATTATACTAATAACAACACATATCTAGCATGTCCCATAAGTCAGTACTATTCTATTTATTCATTTAAGTTCTCAGAAACCTTCAGGGGTAGGTATGGTATGATGAATTTCCTATTTTATAGATGGGTAAGTTGAGGCATGATGTTAAGTAACATAGGGAAGTTCATATATTGTATAATAGCTGGTATGACTTCAGTACCTACCAAATCCACATCTCTTCCCAGCCTCGGGGTGAGAAGTCCAAGCTTCCTTTCTGCCGGGCCACTCAACCTCTGTCTTTCACAGTGCTTAATAACCTCATCTCACAGTGCTTTCCAAAATATAAGACTGGCCTCTTTGGGGGAAAAAGATGTAAAGGTCATTACCACCATGATACATGTCAAAACGAAGTATTGAAAACCTGAAGTATTGAAAGTGCAGAGTAGGTGCTCAGAGCATGCTAATTGCCCTCTGACATCCACATAACTGTGTATAACACCCTCTTTCCAACCCAGGAAGGTGTGTAAATCGCAGACTTCTTTGCAATGGGGACAATGACTGCGGGGACCGGTCAGATGAGGCAAACTGTAGAAAAGTTTCTAAAAAGTGTCAGCAGGAAATGGACCAGTACTGGGCAATTGGCAGTCTGGCCAGTGGGTAAGTTACTGTGTTTCTATTGTATACATGGGAAGGTAAAACATTAAGGATAATTCTAGAAAAGAAGAAGCTGATAGGAAAAGAGTGGCTTCTTTTCTCTTTTCTGAAAAAAGACTGCAGTGTAAGCAGATGCTTTAGTTTTGTCACCTGTAGAAGGATGTCAGTAATACCCTTCTCTTACATTCAGAGAGGACTCAATAAGCTAATCCTATCTAATAAAGATAGAATATGCAAATTGCCCATCACTCTGTGACAAAGATGGCGGTGCCTATAGTCAATAAAGAGGGAAAATGCAAATTGATGCAACAAAGATGGTAGGGGTCAGGCTGGGATGCTTGCATCATCAACATGGCAATGACGCAGGTGTTCCACTCCGCCCTGGCCACTCTGGGCCTCTGGGCAGTACGCACACATAGACGTAGACAGAGCAGCTGGGGGCAGGGTGGGGTGGGATACCTGCTATTGGGGAGGGAGGCCGGGGTTGGAAGGAGCTACAGGAGGGCAGCAGGGCTGGAGAAAAGGCAGAAGGCGGTGGCCAGATCAAAGACCTGGGTCCCAGGTGTCAGAGGGAAGCTTGTACCAGCAGCCAGGGGAAAGAAGGCCTATTCTTGCACAAATTTTCATGCATCAGGCATCTAGTCCTATATAATAAAAGGCTAATATGCAAGTTGACTGAACAGTGGAACAACCAGTCACTATGACGTACACTGACCACCAGGGGGCAGACACTCAACACAGGAGCTGCTCCCTGGTGGTCAATGCGCTCTCACAGGGGGAGCGCTGTTCAGCCAGTAGCCAGGCTCATGGCTGGCTTGTGAAGCATTGGCATTGGGAGCCTCTCCCACCTCCACAGCAGAGCTAAGGATGTCTGACTGCCTAAGCTGTCTGAGGACTCCCTCCCCCCCCCCAAGTGTAGGAATTTCATGCACCTGACTTCTAATGTGATTATAATAAATTAATAAGTGAGAGGCAGCTTGTGTGGTGGGAAGAATGCAGCCTCCATTCTTAAACTAGACCCTCAGACTTGGAATCTTGGCCCCACCAGTTGTTTCTGGCAGTGGAACCTCAGGCAAGTCAATTACCATCTCTGTGCCTCACTTTCCTCATCTCTAAAATGGGTATAATAATAATTCCTATCTCATAAGGATCAAGTGACTCAATATGTTTAAATTAATTATTATAGTGCCTCCACAAAGTAAGTACCACATTATATTTGTTAAATAAAATGAATAAATATTCATTTTGATGATACATGAAACTCTTCCATAGGAAAGAGCCTAACACAATTCCATTAGAACTGAGGCCAATAGGCAGAAGCTGAAAGCTGACAGAGTTCCTTGCAACACCAAAAAAGAACTTTCAGTAGCAGTCAGAACTGGGCCAAACTGAGGCCTGCCTTCAGAGGCAGTGAGCAGTATATCCAATTAGAGACGGGATTCTCACCCTTTCTACAAGGACATATGATATCTACTGCCCAGGGCCTTGAGGACACTAAGATGTTGCATGGAGCCACCACACAAAAAAGTAGTTACCATTTACTGAGTTAGACCCTCAGTAAATGGTAACTATTTTAGTGTCTCATGATGTGAGTCATACAGAAATTCAGAAGAAAACTCCCACTCCCTAGGGGCATACAACCCAGTGGGGACAATAGACACATTTAATAAAAAGCATTGAATAAGCCATATTCTAAACACTCAACAAATATGACACATGGACTCCACCCAAAACCCTGTGAGGTAGGTGTTCTCCTTATTCCTATTTCATAGTTGAGGAGACTGAGGTATAGAGAGGTTAAGGACAGGTGTGCCCAAGGTCATGTAACTTATAAATAGCAGAACAGGGATTTGACCCCAGGCTTCTGGTTCCAGAGTTTGTGTTCTTACCTATTATGCTAGACCAGTGGTTGGCAAACTCATTAGTCAACAGAGCCAAATATCAACAGTACAATGATTAAAATTTCTTTTGAGAGCCAAATTTTTTAAACTTAAACTCTATAGCTAGGTACATTGTTATTAACTTAATTAGGGTACTCCTAAGCTGGCCTTTGATAAACAATCAAGGGGCCAAAGAGCCACATGTATTTCGCAAGCCACAGTTTGCCAACCACTGTGCTAGACCATCCTTGCAAGGCACCTGTAATAGTACAAAATAATAAATGAACAAGGGGCAAGCACAAGGTCATAGGAGGGCTTCTGACCCAGCTTGGTACAAGAGTCAGTGAGGGCTTCCCACAACAGGCAACAACAGAGCTCAATCTTGAAAGAAAAAAACAAAGTGAATGGCTAGAAGGGCATTCTAGATATAAGGCACAGCACTTACACCTACAAGAAGGAGCAAAACAGATTGGAGGAAGAGCGGGCTTCTCCCAGTGGGTGGAACTAGAGTATACAGTTGTGGTTGGGAATGGCCAGACATGAAGCTTGGAAGCTGCTTTCTACCAGATATCAAGGGCCTTGGATGCCATGTCAAGGAATCCTATAGGCATATTAGCTCTACCAATTGAAATTACAACCTGCTGCTTATCCATCCTTCTTCCTCTTCATGCCTTCCCTACAGGATTAATTTATTCACAAACAGTTTCGAAGGCCCAGTTCTTGATCACAGGTATTATGGCGGTGGGTGCTCCCCCCATTACATACTGAACACAAGGTTTAGGAAGCCATTCAACGTGGAAAGCTACACCCCGCAGGTAAGTGCAGATGGGAAGCCCCTGAAGGGCAGTGGGAAGGCTGGGAGGAGCCAGCCAGCAGGAGTTGCAGCCAGGCCTGCCGCCTGTGACTGGGCCAGTTTAGCTGCATCACTTTACCTCTGAACAGCAATCCTTCATGTGTAAAATGGGTGGTTCCTTCCTCAGGACACATGGCAAGGCAGACACGGTGTATATGGATGACAGTAATAGTTGGAGTAGCAGTAATTGTACTAAAATAATATCCAAAGCTACCATGAAGACAGAAGTATAGCTTAGGATTTGGAGTCTTCCAGATTTGGCCGCTCTGCAGTTTACCATCTGTGTATTCCTAAAGGCTCTGAGCCTCCCCTTTCCTCTTTGAATTGGGAGTTATAAGGGTCTTGTCCTACAGAGAGAGGTCTACTGAGGGAACCTGTGTCAAGGCTCAACACACACATCTGGTTGAGTGGTGCGTCCCTGGGAAATGTTAACTCTTGGTGTCACCAAGCCCTTGCCCGTTATATGGGGCCTTGTGCCAAGCATTTGAAATTGTAAAATGCTCCACTAATAGAAGGCCCCTCTGATTAACATACAGACACAGAAGCACTCACAGAGAGGGGGTTAGAACTGACGATGGTACTTCGAGGCACATACACTCGAGACTGTGGAGATGACACTGGGGTTCGCGGCCCGGCTCTGCTCTGCCACAGGTCCCGGGTTCACTTTGGCCTGGGGTCCTTTTTCATTCTGGGCCTCCATTTCCTCTCTTGTCAAATGAGGGGCTGAATGAGATAACGCTGGCTGTAATTTTGACTCTTAAAGCTGTCAGTTCTGACCGTAAGGCCACTGTTCCCTCCTCCTTCCTTTCCTCTCCCTTTGTTCCCACACATACTTACTGGCCCAAAAAAGAAAAAAAAAAAATGAGCCCGAGACAAACACACCTCCTCCATGAGGCCAGCACCATCCCACAGCCTCTATCTACTGTTAGGGGAGGATCCTGGAACTGCCATTAATCAGCCAGGCTAAAGCAGCTCCTCATCCAGCAAGACCGGCGGGCAAAAGTAGGTTTACAGATGTTCATATGGAAAATAATACAATAATTAATAAATAACAATATGAGAATAAACTCTGTTTTGCATACTCACAATTGTAAACTTATTTTGCCCACCCCGTATATTTTCATTGCCAACTTTTTTTTTTTTTTAACGCTGTGTCAGACGCTGTACAATGTTTTACCCGCATAAACTCAACCCTCCGAACAAGCCCAATGGAGGAATAATTATTGTCTTTATGTTACACATGAGGAAACTGAGGCATGAAGATGTTAGGTCGGATGTTCAGGGTTATCCACCTTGAAAACGGCAGTGACACATTCTCCTCAGGTAGCCTCATTCCAGGCCACACTCAGACTCACCTCTGCTTCTCTATATTGAAAGCTGGGGGCTAGGGAGTTGATGGGATGGGGGTGGAGACAGTTTGGGATTTGTCACTCTAGGGCCACCAAATGACCCCGTTGGCTGTTTCCCTGTGCATGGGACAAACAACCTCAATTTTCAAGTAAATAGACCTTCTGGGTTCTCACAAAGACCCTTTCCTGCCCCTGTCACTTCTTCCCCACTCACTACCTGTGACCAGACCCTCATTACCTGTCACTGGCATTCTTCTGACAGCCTCCTCCTTGGCCTGTCCCTCTGACCCCACATTCGTCCCTACCAATCCAACCACTAAGTTGTCCTACAGTGATCTTCCTGAGGCTCAGCCACTTCCTCTGCTGGCTCCTCTTCAGATGAAGTCCATCTTCAAAGCAAGTCATCTTAGGAGCCCTGGCATTTTCATGCCAGCACATTTTCTCATAGCACCTCTCTCTGCAGCTCCTTACTCTCCTATCTTCTGATTCTACCACACTAGAACCCCTTGCAGTTTTTAAATACATCCTGCCTTTTCCCATTACCAAGCCTTTGCCTAAGCTGAATCTGCAGCCCAGAATGTTCTCTACTTTTCTGCCAGTTGAAATCCAAACCAAGCTCTCACTTTTGAATATCACCCCACAGTACTTACTGAATACCTCTTTCTCTCCTAATGGGCTGGGAGCCCTGGGGGTGGGGACAGTGTTGGCTCTGAGTTCCCTGTATCCAGAGCACCTGGCACATGGTAAGAGGGCCATGGGTGTTTGTTGACTTGTACAGAACTGATACAAGTCAAATGACATAAGGAACTTTTTTTTTCTTCCTTTAGACCCAAGGCAAATATGAATTTGCTCTGACAGAATATGAATCCTACTCAGATTTTGAGCATAATGTCACAAAGGCAGAAAGAAGCCAGTTTAGTTCCAGCTTTGGTTTTGCAATCCCAGGAATATTTGAATTTGGCATGAACATGGCAGCTGATAATGGCCAACGTTTTGTCAGCCGAACCAAACGATTCTCTCATACTGTAAGTACCCTACTGGGGCTCTTCATTTTCTCTACATTCATTTGAATTTTCATGCCCACTGATATGTCCATAGTCTACATTACTTACTAGTTCTAGCAACCAATTATATTTCTATTATCTTGAAAATATCTTTACACACACACACACATAAAATAGCATGGTCACGTGTTGACTTACTTTTTAGAAGACCAGGCAGCAGTAGCCTTCTCAAATTATTTACCCTCATTTTCTAATAAGCTTTTCCCCTTGGTTTTCATTCACTGAAGATTTTAACTTTGCCAGACCAGATCAGCTCTGGAGGCTTTGCAATTCAGCAGTTGTGACTTCCATCTCGAACTTTCAGCTGACTTTCTGCGAGTACCATACATTGGGCTGCCAGTTGCGAGTGCCCCACAACCACCACGTCCCGCATGGTTCAGGGTTCAGGTTCAGGGTTCAGGCTTTGGAGGAGGCTGCACACAAATGAAAGAGACTAGACAAGAAAATATTAATATGGGAATTGGGTGCCAGGCGGAAGCCCAAGAGAGGACTCCACTTTGCTGTGACCTTGCCATCCTTTTAATTCAGGTTTTGGGATATACCCAAAGCCCTTAGACAGGCAATTCCAGTAATAGCTCCATGATAGCTCATCGGCAAAGATTTACATAAGACTAAAAGGTGGAAGTTGCTTCAGCTCCCTTTCTCTCAACTAGACAGTGGGTGCATGGCTCTGACCCTTGCCAGAGCCTCAAGGTTGACCAGCCTTTCCAACTCCTTGTCCACACCTCTCTGCTAGTGAAGGCAATGGGCAGCTTCTAACAATTTTCCTTTCCAGAAAGTCACCCAAAACTTCCCCTTAGACTTCATAGGGGCATGGGGTAGAGCTGACCTCTCAGCATGCACTTGTTTCTTCTGTATTTGTCCTGCTCCTTATTTGTTCCCTTCCCAGGTTCTCCTGTCCCCACCTAGTCTTTATTTAATTCATGATACCTTCCCTTCTGACTCCACAGCTTGCCTGGTGACCACTTCTCTCACTGCCCTCGTCTATAGGGGCAAGCCCTGAGCCTTCCTCCCACAAAACTTTTTCTGTAAAGGGCCAGAGAGCAAATATTTTAGGCTTTGTGGGGCCCTACGGGCTCTGTTTCCACTGCTCAATTCTGCCACTGTAGTGTGACAGCAGCTTTGGAAATAAATACAGGGGCATAGCTGTACTCCAATAACATTTTATTTCCAAAGCCGGGCCTCAGTTTGGTGTGTGGGCTGTGGCTGGTTGTCTCTGGCCACACACAATGGCTAGCCTTCCTACACCCTAGCTATGACTCTTTTTTTGCAGAAGATCATAAAGAAGTTACTTTCCCAAGTCAGCAAACCCTGCATCCCATTAGAGTTGCCACCTATGCCCCTGCTGCCCCTGCTCCCCCTGCTCCCCCCGCTGTGTCTATTTCTGGTTGCCTCCCCTTCTCATTCCTCATTTGCTACTTTAAGGACCTGAGCAAAGAGCTAGCTCTTCCATGCTGAAAAGGACTTCGCAATATTTATGAGACTTGAGAGCTTGTCGGAGTGGCTGTCTCCCTCAAGAGTCCTAAAGAAATCATAAGAGTGATGACCTCGAGCCGAGAACACCGGGTGGTATTTGTAAAGTTCATCTTCTCGTTCCAGATTCCTAACTTTAAAGGTCTGGTTTTCCCGTGTTGGTATTTCATTTAGGGAAGCAAATTTCTGCACGCACGCTCTGACCTTGAGGTGGCCCACTATAAGCTGAAATCCCGAAACCTCATGCTCCATTACGAATTCCTCCAGCGAGTCAGGCAGCTGCCCCTGGAGTATGCCTACGGCGAGTACAGAGACCTTTTCCGCGATTTCGGTACCCACTACATCACGGAGGCCGTGCTGGGGGGCATCTATGAGTACACACTTGTTATGAACCAGGAGGCCATGGAGAAAGCAGGTACATGACCTTGGGGAGCTTGGCTTTCCTGATGGGGCATGTGTGAGCTATGTGTGTTCATGGGGAGAGGTGTCCATGAGTTGCCGGGAGAGGAGTTAGAAGCTGTGCTCCTTATCTCCTTCTCCCTCCCTCCCTGGCTATACTTTCACAGTTTCATTTGCAGATTCCTCATCTGTTTTTTAACTTGGTAATGTTGGTGCTTCAGCCTGCCCTCTGTCCGGGAAGACCACTTTCCTACAACTATTTTCTCCAGACAATAGCATCGAATCTTAAGGCTTTAAATGCCTTCCACATGCAGATAACCCCCAGTTTGTATATCCATCCTGCACCTCTTCTCTGCAACCAAGAGCTTATATCAAAATGCCTCCTTGATATCACCATTTGAATCCTAACAATCATCATGCCCCCAGAAGAGATTTAAGATTCGAATGCTCTTTCCAAGTGTAATCTGAAAGTCTAAGGTGTGATCCCTGTTTCCCAATTGGTATTGTTTCAAACAGTGTGGTACTTGTGAGGTTAAGGGACCTGCCCCAGGTCACATGGTTTACAGTGGCAGAACTGGGCCTTGGTTATCCTTCCAGTGTACTCCCTAGAAGCCACAGGTACCAAATATAAATGTGTGTCATGGTGGTCTCGGTCTTACCAAGATCAAGGGTTCCACACCAATAGTTTATAAAGGGCTTCCATACTTCCTCAAACAGGCTCTGTGATCTAATAAGTTGGGGGAACCTAAGCAATCCCACTTTAGGAGTTTCCCAAGCACACTGCCATGCCATGACTGCTTCACCTCGTCTAATGCCACACTGGTCACACTTACTGGGCCACAGAGGCCCCTTTGCTCATAAAACCTACTAGTACAAGAATTATAAGTGAGAGTATTAAGGGATTCATGTTTCAAGGAACATGTATGGGGCAATACTGATTACCAGACAACCCAAGTAGTCAAAATTTCTGTTCTTGCACTGGCCTCAAAGTGCTGTAGGAGGTGTTACAAGGCACCCTAAGGTTTCAGTGAGCCAGGGGTTGAGGATGCCTTGGGGAGAATTAGAGCGGGACAAGTGGGAAATGATCCAAAAATGAAGAAGGAATGAGGAATTGGCCCCTTTGCCAGGTACTGGATCAGGTATTTCATATTAATCAATTGACCAATTTATAAGTTCTCTCTACTGCATCAAAGATAGAGATGAGTGGGTTGGGGAAGGGAGACATTGCAACAACATATATTCTCTGGACTAGTCCCTAGAAACTTGATAAGGAACCATGGTTTTGGAAAAGCACTTTGAGCACTTCCTCTCATGGATGGGTGGCTGAAGGGAAGGTGGTCCTGGTTTCATATACAGGCTCAGTCCCTGGTGCAGAAGTTGCTTGCATTTCCTGTCATCAGTCTGGCTTCCCATTGTCTGAACCCGAGTCCCTGTGTCATGACACCCAACAAGCAAGGGCTGGGCCTCTAGAATCAATCACAGGAAAGGCACAGGGTGGATTACCTTTCAGTCATGAGCTTCTTTTCTTGCTTCTTGCAGATTATTCTCTTAAGGATATTCGTGCCTGTGCCCAAGCAGGTTTTAGAATCGGTGCTGCCTTCAAAGCAATCTACCTCAAGCTTGGTGTGTCCATGGCCCTGTGTGAGGGTGTGCTCAAGGAAATCGAAGGTGAGCATCAGGGGCAGATGGCTTCTATGCTTATCATCTTTCCTTTCTAGAACTCCAGGACAAAGAAAGAACAATTTCTTTACATTAAATACTGGATATTCCAAGGCATTTCAATTAAAATAGTAAGTCAGCCCTGGCTGGGGAGCATTCTCCACACACTAAAGGTTGTGGGTTTGATTCTTGATCAGAGCACATACATAGGTTATGGGTTTGATCCCGATCAATATTTCTTTCTCTTCTCTCTCTCTCTTTCTCTTTCTCTCTCTCTCTCTCCTCTTTAAATCAGTAAAACATATCCTAAGGTAAAGATTAAAATAATAATTCATTTAATAAAAATGTACCTACTTCTACTATGTGATGGACATACAAAAATGAATAAAATTGTATTTCTATCACATGAAGTAGGCAAATAAGGAACCAATAACAAGACAGTGACAATCACCAAACCCAGTTGGGAGCATCAGGGCAGGCTTCCTAAGGGAAGGGTCATTTGATTTGTTGCTGGAGGAGTGAGTAAAGAATCAAGGTTGTGCTGGGACCAGTTTGGCTCAGTGGATAGAGCGTCGGCCTGCGGACTGAAGGGTCCTGGGTTCTATTCTGGTCAGGGGCATGTACCTTGGTTGTGGGCATATCCCCAGTGCGGGGGCGGGGGGGTGCAAGAGGCAGCTGGTCGATGTTTCTCTCTCATCGACGTTTCTAACTCTCTGTCCCTCTCAATTCCTCTCTGTGTAAAATCAATAAAATATATATTCAAAAAGAAAAGAAAAGAATCAAGGTTGTGCTTTGGGCAGGAAAAAGATCTAACAATGGAAAATTAGTCTGTGTCTGGGTGGGGGTTGGCCTGGCTAGAGGTTAGGATGCTAGAGCAGGGGAGGGGGGGAGGAGAGGTAGGTGAGGAGGCCAGTAACTCCCTCAGACAAAGGGCTTTACAGAGACTAGAAAAGCAGACGAAGTCACAAACCATACAGAAGAGCCCACGTGGCAGGAGAGACCAAATCGGAATGTGGCTGAGTTGAAGGTGCATAATGAAGCCAGGGTGTAGAGCTAGGCATCTTAGGAGCAGGAATACAGGGGAGCTGGGAATCAATACAGTCAGTGGAGTGGGAAAGAGAAGCCGATCAGCAGGGCTGCAGTCCCAAACTCTCTGCATCTCCAGCAGCTCTCCTTTGTCTACTCGCTTATTAAGCTTATGCAAAGCAAGTTCCATAGCAAAACAAAACAACAAAAATCAATCACTGGTTTCCTGCACTGTAGCTGATGTGTGGTTGACATTGTTGTTTGTTCATTTTGGTGCTGCTGGGTCGGAAGGTGCATCCTACATGTGGAGGTACACATAAAACATAGGCACTAGCCCTAACCAGTTTGACTCAGTGGATAGAGTGTCAGCCTGAGGGCTGAAGGTTTGATTCCAGCCAAAGGCATGTACCACCTTGGTTGCGGGCACATCCCCAGTAGGGAGTGTGCAGGAGGCAGCTGAATAGATGTTTCTTTCTCATCAGTGTTTCTAACTCTCTATTTCTCTCCCTTCCTTTCTGTAAAAAATCAATAAAATATATTAAAAATAAAACCACAAAAAAACAAACCACATAGGCACTCTCTAAAGACAACTTGTGAAGTAACCTCCATCACATCACCAGATGGAACATTGCTCAACATCCCAGAAATCCTTGACAACCACGGCTCCTCCCTTTGTTCTGGAGATGACACCATTCTGACTCCTCCTTTTTTAATAGTTCTACCTCCCATATGACCCACTGACCAGTGTCTCACTGTGGCTTGTTTTCTAACTGTATATGGATGGAACATCATCTTTTCAGTTCTATGGGTGGGTTTTTGTTTTTTCATTCAACAGCATGTGTTAATTAATTTCTCTCACTGCATAGTATTTTGCTGTATGAATACAAGTTTGTCCATTCTGTTGAATTTGGGTCATTTGCTATGTCATGCAGTTAGAATCAGTGCTCCTCTGAGTGTTCTCACATAGTCATCTGATCTCTGTGTCTCCAGGGTCTACACCTAGGAGTGAAATTGTTGGGTTGTCAAGGATGCACTTTTGTAACTGGCTTCTAAAATGGTTGTCCCAGTTTATCCTCCTACCAGCATTATGCGAACCTGCCTTCATATGGTGTATGGTGTTGTAGGCTCAGAGCTGAGTTCTTTTGGCTATGGGCGCATAGATAAATTAGAATGGACTCACTGATATGATGGAGGGCTTCTGGGAAACTCCATGAAAAAGCAAATCATTTTATAGTAGACACACTTTTGTAGGTTTGTATCCCTTGAAGAGCCCAGCCTTTACAAATTCTCCCAGCTTTGTCATCCCACACAATGAAGTGCTAGAGCTTAAAGCTGGGGCAGGCCTATATGCATGAATTTCTTCATACCTGGCACCTAAGAACTCTTATCTTATCTGCAAAATAAGGATTATATAGGTCTATGCCACAGTGAAGATTGAGTGAATACATGTACAACATTTCGAGATTAGTGATTAGTGACTGACAGATAAATGATCAATAATCTACCTATCTACCAATCTAATTACCTATGTATGATCTATCGATCTACTCATATAAATGTATATACATATGTATGTATGTATGTGTGTATGTATGTATCAGCTTTTTACTAATTATTTACATACTAGAGGCCCAGTGCATGAATTCGTGCATGGGTGGGGTCCAGCCAGCCCACCCCAATTGGGGCCGATCAGGAAGGAGGGGCCGCAGATGGTTGGCTGACTGGCCTCACCCTCAATTGGAGTGAGGGGCCCATTGGGAAGCTGGGTTGGCTACGGGGAGGGGCCATGGGACGTAGAGGGGCCAATTGGGACCCTTATTGGGCTGGTTGGCCACCACAGTGCACATCATAGTGACCAGTCATTCCAGCCATTCTGTCATTCTGGTTGCTTGGCTTTTATATATATAGACTTACAATTTATTTTTCTATTTATATCTATCTATCTATCTATCTATCTATCTATCTGATAGCTACCTTCCATTGACTCACTTAGTGACTGACATTTATGGATCCTCAAAATAAATGTCCCCTTGTTCTGCCTCCAACTTGTGTCCTATATGATTGGGTGAGCTGCCTTTTTCCTATTGCTATGTGCCTCCCTTCTGGCAGGGATGTGTCTATCCAGTTCTGAGAAAACTCAGTGAGTATCATGGTACCCAGACTGTTAGTTGGGTTGCAGTAAATGCTAAGGTGCAAAATTAGATTCCCTGACTTCCCAGGTCTCTGTGTCCATATCAGACAGAAACAATAGAAAAAGCATGGTAGAGGACTTGGTGGTCCGTGTGCGAGGAGGAGCAAGTGAATACGTCACCGCCCTGGCCTACAAGGACCTGCCGACAGCGGACCTGATGCAGGAGTGGGGAGATGCAGTGCAGTTTAATCCCGACATCATCAAAATTAAGGTACCACTGGGCAGCTTCTCCATCCATCCTTCCCTCTGCTCTGAGCCAAGGTGTGGGATACAGAGCTCAATAAGGCCAACCCTTAATATTGAGGTGCATACATGAGAGTAGAAAATATATCTGGAGTGAACCAATTATAGTGTAACTGCTCAGCACCAGCTAGTGACCCCCAATTCCCTCTCACTAGGGCGCCCACGATGCTAAAAAAAAAAATAAATACCATCTTCTAACTATAGCCTTCTTACATTAATATTGTTTCCATTCCATCAGAGAATTACTAATTTAATTATTTGCTCATTTAAATATTAATTCAGGCAACCAACAAATAGTTGTTGTGTTTCACTGCTGGGATAGGAACTAAGGTGCTGGAGGAAAATAGAGGGAGGTGCAAGGGTGAAAAATACAGTCTATGCTGCATAGTAAGACACACTCAGTCATAACTCTCTCACAAGGCAGGATAACACATCATGGAAATCATTAACATCTTTTGGGCACCCACTATTCCCTTGACACTCAGCCGAGAGCTTTTATAGTGTCATTACATTTAATCCCCATAAGTCTACAAGTTAATATGTTTATTTTGTGGCTGATAAAAAAAAAAAAAATCAAGGTCATAGAGGTTGTACCCAATTGTGGCTGCTTGGGATTCTTTATTGGGTCCAGACCTGAGACCTGCACCTTTCCCCTCCCCTCCAGATTTTCCTACGGGTTTAGAAAATAAAAAAACTAATGATCCCAATCACCTGTCACCCAAACAAGAGCAGTTTTGCAAACTAAAACTGAAAGGACATTTGCCAGAACAAGATTGTCACACACATCAGCAGTGGTAGGTGCTTGCCTATGGGGCCTTCAGGATGCTGTCCATGTCATACTGTACACCGTCCTGCTCTTGCCATCATGTGTACAGTCATTTCATTGAAGGTCCAGTGTCAGCCCCTGGAGGTTTACTGTTGCAGCGAAGGAGGGCAAAGTGAGGGCTGGAGCTCCGACTCAAGGCTCTGCAGTTCCCAGCCCTGTCAATTTCCTGCAGGCTCTTTATTTGTATGTCAACTACATTGTTTCTTCAGAACAAGAAGGCTGCCATTCAATCCTCTTTCAGTGGTGACACTTAAGCAAGCATTGAGAAGGATAAAGTTGCAGGCAGCTCCAGAGAAATCTGGGATTGGTTGATGGCATGGTGGCAGTGGATGGCATCACATATGGGCATGGAAAAGAGAATAGGGAAAAATATATAGATCCCTAGTATTTACATTTTACTTATCTCTTATCTGAATTTTTTATTTGAAACTGAAAATTAATGAATTGCCCTGATTGTTTACCTAAATAGGTTGGATATGCCACCCTGCTCATTGGGAATGCCAAGTGCCAAGTATATGATGTGATATGGGATGTGGTATGTGTGGGGAGGAGAGGGGACATGTTAGTATGCTAAGCATCTCAAGCAGGCCTGCAGACAACGTCAGGTGTGAAGCATTTTACTGAAGCTCAGAAGTTTCTCTGCACATATGGGATGCCATTCACATCCTCTATTCAGTGGAGGGCTCTGGAGGGCTGTGTGGACTGATGGAGGGGAAGAGGTGAGAGAACCAGAGATGTTTTCAGGAGCAGGGGAGGCAGGATTGTTGGAGATGTTGATGCACCTCCTCTGTCTGTCCCTAACCTGAGTTGGAAACATACATTCTGGGCAGTTCACTCCCTCATGCAGTTTCTGGCAAGAGAAAACTGCAGATGGCTTCCCATGGTCTCTGAGGAGTTCTTCTCTGCAGAGTCACTGACCAGGTAGCTGGAGCAGTGATTGCTTCCAGGACAGCAGGGCCCACTACTGAAGCAATTCCTAGACACAGGTGGTGGCCAAGACTTATACATAGACCTGCGCTAAAGATCACGATCATGATTCCTGTAGGAGCCAGGTGGGCAAGGCAGAAAATCACAGAGGAACCCATACACATTGTTTGCTGGTAAACTTGAGATACAAAAAGATGGCTCTCTGTTCAAAGGAGTTACAGAAAAGCAATAGGCAAATAAAGAGCATTCTGAACACAGCAGATTGACATGACGTTCAAGATGCAGGAGGCAAGGGTACATCTGAAATATAGAAAAGCAGAAATAAATTTGGAAGGTATCTGCTTTGTGATTATAACAAACATCAAGAAAACAAGAAATTGATGAACTAAAAAATAGAAGCTGAGATGTTTAGACACTAATCAGATAAAAAGGGAAGTAGCTGAATACAGGGAACCAGGAGCACAGTAGCAGAATTAAAACCCACATTGGAAACTATAAAGAACAGAATTGACACTGCAGGAAATTGAGTTGGTGATGTGGAAGGGGCTATAAAAATGTTTTTAGAATATAGGAGCGAAAGGCAATGAGATTAAAACAATGACATGAAAGAAATATGATGGAGAGAGAGCACAGAGTGGAAATCAAAATCTCTGGGCCTTCTTCCTGAGAAAGAGACAAAAGTAAATGTGAATATGTGTTCATCACACACATAATGAGTGGAATTTCCTTGAGCTGACAGTGACTCATTGAAAAGTAGGCAAAAGTACCAGGGGGAAAAACACTATACTGAAACACATCCTGGTAATGGTTTTTTGTTTGTTTGTTTATTTTGTTTTATTTTTACTTTCAGAACAAATATAGCCTATAAATGTAAAAGTCACACTGGCCTTAGAGTTCTTTGCAACACTAAATATGAGAAGATAATGGAATGACAACCACAAGGTCTGGAAGGAAAAAGCTTGTGGCCCATTGAAATGATCCTAGATGGATAAGAAATCCCAAAGATATGTTGAGATGTTAAAGGAAATACATATAGGGTGGCCAGATTTAGCAAGTGCATATGCAGGATGTCAAATTAATTTTGAATTTCAGACAGATAAGGAATACTTTTTGAATCTTAGGATCTCCTCAGTATTTTGTGGACTATATTTATACTAAAAAGTTATTTGTTGTTTCTCTCAAATTCTATTTTACCTGGGAATTCTTATTTAACTGGCAACCCTAGTCACCAGGCCTATGATCCATGTACATTTATCTAGTGGTCAGGGTAGCTAGATTGTGGTCTGAGATCCAGGCTGATAGAAGATGTTATATGGAGCTTGGACATTGCCTAAGGTAGAAAGAAAAGTATAGTAGTGAATGGTGCCCACAAAGATGTCAGACAACCTAGATTACACTGCATTAAGAACAACACCCAAATCTCAGTGACATGTTCTAGAGTGTACTCACTGAAGGCTTTCCTAACACCACTCAGGGGTCCAGGCAATGGAGGCTTTATCTTGGCACCTGCTCCCAAGATCGCCACAGCAGTGGTGAGGGAACAGGAAAAGTCAGCTCACTTTGCTCCCAAGGTGTCACCAAGAAGGAACACTCCCTCTGCATACCTTTTACTGCCTGAAACAAGTCACGTTGCAAACATGTCCTTAAGGATAGCAGAGATTGCAGCCCTGCCACCTGCCCAAAACCAAAGAAGCTGACATATTTGCTCAACAGTGATAACCATTATAAAGCAGCTTCGTCAAAGATGCTCTCAAAGCACATCACTCTGACCAAGGGAAGGTTTACAAACAGATGGTGTGGTAGCATCTCTGGTAAGATAATGTTGGACTTATACTGCTGGATAGCACCTTTAACAATAAATTCTGAATTTCAAGTGAGGAAACCATGAATATCTTTAAATGGCAGTTTACACACCAACAAAATAATTTTGCCACAAATGAAATTCTAAATGAGCCTGGAATTTATAAGACACATCTCAAAGAAATAGACAACACTCAGAAGAACTCAGATGATGAATAAAGATGCAAAATTTTCAACTTCTCTAGGAACTAAAAATTAAAGTAACAAAGCAATATTTTTAACCTATCAAATGGATAGTTATTAAAAATCTATAACACTTAATATCCATTGAGAGTGATAAAATGGGCACTTTTATAAAATGAGATAGGACTGTAAATAGGTACAACCCTTTGGAAAAGAACTTAACTATATATATATCCAAACTTTTAAAATGCTTATAGCTTTTGATTCAATAACCCTAAATGCAGGATCAGCTAAATAAATAATCTTAAAAGTTGGTAAAGATATATGTATAAAAACATGCCTTGATTTATGTTGTGTGTAATAGCAAAGAAGAAAAGAAAAAAGGAAACAACCTAAATATTTAATAACAGGGCAAGTGTTGTATATATTCTAGTTCAAACATATCAAACTCTAGGCCCAGGGTCCGCATGCCTCATTTATTCATCCGGTGTCAGCCTTTGAGTTTGACATGCTTGTTCTATAATAGTTCATCCATACCACAGGATTCTATGCAACAAGATAAATAATAATAATAATAACAAAAACAAAAACTTTTATGCTCATAATATGATGTGAAGTGAAAAAAGTGGAAAATAAAACTATACTTTTCTTAAGCCACCTATTTGGGGTAAATATTTTTCCACTTACTGGTCCAAAAATATATACTTACAAGAAACAGACCACAATGGTTACAGTTCAAATCCTTTTTCATTCCTGTGTGGCTCTTGTTAACTTTTCTGTGACTTAGCCTTTTCATCTATAAAATTGGAATATAGAAGACCACCTACCTGACTCATAAGATTGTTGTGAAGAATCAGTTAGATTATGTTTGTCAAGTATTTAGTTCAGCACCTAATAAATGCTAGCTATGGCAATAATTATTATCATTGAAAATGTCAAGCACCAGGGTCCATTGTAGAGAAGTGTATGGTGCTGAACAGATAGGACCCATCATCTCTGCAGCAATATGATAAATAAACTTTTTTATAAGGGCAGGGATGTTAAGGACCCAATAATCAAGGTGAGAAATTGGAACTCTGTATTTTTGGGAAGAGATGGGAAGAAAAATGAAGGAGGAAAGTAGGGAGAGAGGCAGGGAGGAAGAAGAAGAGCATAGAGTACCGGCAAACCAAAGAACAGGCAGGTATGTCATATTAACTTGATTTAAAGAGGGAGCTGTGAAGATCTGAGAGTTGCTGCTCAGAGCTCCACCAAAGTCTGCAAAATGTAGAGAATGCTGGGATGAGGTTAGAAATAGAAATAGTCAAGCCACTTTTATTAATAGTCATCATGAATTAGTAGGAAAAACAAAGGCTTGGGTTAGAACCCTGGAGATGCTATTTTATGAGTTATTTGACTTTATTCAGTTACTCAACCTCCCCTGAAAACAGGACTAATAACTGCTGCCTTAAGAGAATAATGTGGGATCATATGTGTAAACCACCATCACAGCTTCTAGCACAAAGTATACCTGGAAGTCTTATTCCAGTTTTGCCTCTGACTTTCTCCCTCTCCTGGAGCAAATCTCAGTGCTGATAGGATAAAGGCATGGGTAAAGGCAGGCTTTCTCTGAAGGGAATGCTGCTGTTGGAGCCGGTGGTTGGTATACAGCAAACCCTGCCCTATATGCAGGCCAGCAGGCTAGAAGGTTCTGCAAACAGCCTCTGGATCAATTCATTGACTACAAAACGGTGAGACAATGGGACCACCAAGGGACCTTGCTCTGCCTACTGGGGCGAAGGTCAGCATCAGATGCATTAAGAAATGGAAGCAATTTTCTTCTCACTGGAGGTTTCTATTAGGCATGATTGCCTGCATTTATACAGACCCTAAACTCTCTAGGACTGGATTAGGGCAGGATCACAACCAAAATCTGGAGAGGAACCTGGCCCTGGAGCTGAAACTGGAGCCAAGAGACTAAATAGTTTTAACTACCTTTTGAGATGTGGCCTCTGGCTTTTCCTGACCTACAAACACCAACACTTCAATCTGTGGCTTCTAAGTCTCAGGAACTGCTAAGCTCTCTGAGAGACCAGCATCCCCTTTGTGCTTTTACAGTTTTTCTATGCACACTCTCTCCTCCATGCCTGCTGCTACTGGCCTGATTGTAAGGTCTTCAATCCCCTTTGATTTGATCCACTTTATCAGTAGTTTTCAATAAGCTCAGGGCTGAATCCTAGAGGCAGAGCTGAGGAGTTTGTAGCCCTGATCTTCAATTTATAATCTAACTAGAGGCCAGTGCACAAAATTCGTGCACTGAAGGGGTGGGGGGGGCAGTGTTCCAGCCTGCAGCCTCTTCAATCTTGGACCCCTTGGGGGATGTCAGGATCAGGCCTAAACCAGCAGTCAGACATCCCTTTCACAATCCAGGACTGCTGGCTCCCTACTGCTCACCTACCAGCCTGATCACCCCTAACCACTCCCCTGCTAGCCTGATTGATGCCTAACTTCTCCCCTGATGGGCCAATTACCCCCAACTGTCTTCCCCTGCCAGCCCGGTTGCCCCCAACTGCTCTTCCCTGCTGGCCTGGTCACCTCTAACTGCCCTCTTCTGCTGGCCTGGGTTACCCCTAACTGCCCTCCCCTGCAGGCCTGGTCCCCCCCAACTGCCCTATCCTGCTGACCTGGTCATCCACAACTGCCCTCTGCTGCCGACCATCTTGTGGCGGCCATCTTATGACCACATGGGGGTGGCCATCTTGTGAGAGGTTGTGATGGTCAACTTGCATATTACCTATTTATTATATAAGATTAGAAGACAGAGATTTCAACACATAAAAAATGTAACGACAAGTGAGCAAAAATAATTGGTATTGAATGAGCAGTAGAGTATTGTGAGCATTTTGTGTTGGGAAGGTGTTCCTTGAATTCTGGAGCTTGGGAAAGGCTTCCTGATAGTGGCTCTGGCACAGTGTGAATGCTTTTGATAGATTTTGATAAGATAGTGATGTTAGGACCAGGTTCCTTTAATACTTTCAAAGAGCTGCTTGAAAATTACCTCCTCCCCCCATCAAAGAGAGATGAACCACCTGGTCCTCTCTATCCATTAAAAGTTTTCCCTCTTACCTGTGCTGTAAATACCCACTAGTATGCTTGTCTCTACCTTTGGATTCTGAATTTCTTACAAGTGGGGATTTTATATTTTGCTTACTTGTGCTGACTTCCTGGCACTTAGGAAATATTCATTAAGTATTGGTTGACCTGAACTTGAATGAGCTTATTTGTGGATAACAGGTGGAGTGGGACAGAGAGACAATGGGGAATCCATCTATATGGTGGGGCATTTATCCTGTGCCATAGGGATCTACTTTGGGTCTCTGTACACTGACCCCTTGCCCTTTCCTGAGGAGCCCTGCTTTATGCTTCTATTTGATTAATGTTTTCTGCTGACATAAATGGCTTTTCTTGCTTCCCAGGCTTCACCGCTGTATGAGCTGGTCACCTCCACAGACTTTGCCTATTCCAGCACAGTGAAGCAGAATATGAAGAAGGCCCTGGAGGAGTTCCAGAGAGAAGTCAGCTCCTGCCTCTGTGCCCCCTGCAAAGGGAATGGGGTCCCTATCCTGAAAGGTACCATTTCTGGGCAGCTGGTGTCTCTGGTGGGAGCTATCATGTGGAGGGCTGGTTCAGGGGCCAGAACACGTTATCAAAACCACATACCCTCCAGAGTAGTTCAAGGAGAGTTTCTAGGTCAATCCCTAGCATCTGCCTTGAGCCCCAGGGTCTGTCATTAATGTCATTAAGCTTTTTAAAATTATCTCAATGAGGAAAAGGGGGGAAACTGGACACTGGAACCTCTTAAACATGAGCTTCTTCAAACTAACTCAACATTAGGACCATGGGCATGCCTCTGAGGCAATGCAGCCCCAGTTATCAACCACAGTAACAAAGTGGGTATCTCAATAAAGTGAATATCTTAATCTTTTTGCTAGTGGGGAGTCTTGCCTTCCCTCTGTAAAAAACAAAACAAAACAAAAAAATAACAACAAAAATGCAATACCTATGAAAAGGCAATAAAGCAAAGAGCAATAAAACAAGGTATGCTTGCACTTGAGAGCGTCATAACTATTGATGCTTGGGCCCAACCTGGATCTTGATATGAGTATCTCTGGAGAAGGACCCTTCACCAGGATGGTGACACCCTCCCCATCAGCCTGCAGGTGACCCACAATTGCTAAAGTCCCCACCTCTTCTGGATGCACCTTGGAGACCCCTGCCCTCAGGTGTAGCTGATGGCAAAGCATAAGCCATTCATCTGAGGCAGCAGATCCCATCCCGGGCTGCATGTGAGAATTACCCAGAGAGCTTTTCACAAACACAAAGCTGTTGGTCCTGCCCAAAGTAATTAAAGTGAATCCTTTGGATTGGCCTTTATAAAAATCTCCCAGATGATTTCACTGTAGAGTCAGGGCTGAGAAGCTGTCATGTAGCTGAATTCAGTGATAGACAGGATCAAGGATTTCTATGAGTTGATAAACTAGTGAGTGTTACACTGAATTGCACTAAGTGCTAATAGAAGTGTCTGTTAGTCTAGCTCCCAAGAAGTCAGAATGTAGGCAACTAGGAGATGCTTCTCTGGCTGCCAGGATACATGGATTCCAGCCACAAGGAGCACAGTAGGTGACAGCAGCATTAAACTGAAGACAAGAGCAGCCTGAAGCTGTGCGTCTATAACAGAAGTGGGGACAGACTCAGGGAATTTCTTCTGGCTAAAAAAGAAGTCCTGGGCTGAGCAGAGGAAACCCTTTGTGCCTCTCCTGACCAAGACATGGTGAGAAGATTGGAGGACTGGGGAGGGGTAGCGAGGATGGGCCACTAGGACTTGATTCCTAATTTTGAGGATTACACTGGGGTCCTTGCAGTGGGCAGGACAAACATGGAAGAGGCTGAGGCCTGGCTTCTTATGCTCACTCCTCTTGTGATGAGCTAACAAAACTCTGAGGAAGTGTCTAGTCCATCCTGGTGCCAAGACAGGGCACCTAGAGCAGCTAGTCCCAGCAGATTCCAGCCCAGAGAGCCCATTGGAGTTGGCAGTACAAGCCAAGTGGATGGAGCAAGCTCAGCAAAGAAGACATGTTTTCATGGAGAAAGATCCCAGCTACCCAGAGGAGATTGAGGAGTAGATTGGACAAGATTGATATGAGCACAGAAGACATAAGTGAGAGCCTAAGGCTGGGGAGTTCTACCATTAGTACAAGGACACTGAGTGAGGGTCAGTTCAGCAGGAAGGAAGTCAGTAACTAGCTCAAGGTTTTGACCTAGGGTTGCTGAAATCCCCATTGCCTTGTGTGAAATTTGGACCTGGGAACTGGGACCCACCTGAGGTTCTATCCTGGAGGTGAGGGAGAACATGAAGACAGGGCAAGGATGCTCGTAAGGCCTGCTTTATGAAGGACAGTCCTGTAAAGAGATTCAGTGTGATCCAGATGAAAAGACTTTAGGGTGACATGTTACAGATTAACACAAGTAATGACTTACAGGCAGGGTATTTGACCTGGCCCAAGGTAGGATAAGACATCAAAGTGAGTTCCCCATCACTAGAGATGTGCAAGCTGAGTTTAGATAATTAACTTGTGGTGAAAATGACCAGTGGCCTCGCTGACCACAAATGTAGCTTTTGACTCTGAGCACATAAGACTAGGCAAATATCTACTAATGAGGAGGAATTCCTCAACAACCCCATATATTGCAACTCCATATGACGGCAATAAATATGTTTTTTATGAGCAAAGAATCCTTAAGAAAGGAGTAGGTATTCTTGGCACTGAATCTTCTTATTTCAAGTGACTCAACCAAATGTCCTTAACCAGATGGGAATGCAGTGATGTAGAGAACTAACCTCCAAGGTTCTTCCATCACGTGGTTATAGTTCATGTTCTCTCTGCATTGTCTTTTCAGAATCGCACTGTGACTGCATCTGTCCCAATGGATTTGAAGGCCAAGGCTGTGAGATCACCTATCGGAAAAGTAAGGAGCCTTTGAGAGTTGGTGGGGAAAGGGAATGCTAGAGGAAGTCCAGAGAGTAATTCGAAAGAGCAAGAGCAAGGTGGGAGTCTGGTAGGGAGCTGGATGCTATGAAACTTGAGATCCATCTTGGCTATAGATTGTATATTTCATTGCTGTCACAACTGAGAGTGCTTCATGTTATAGGACTTCTAATGGCATTTGCAAGTCTTCTGAAATGCTTACTTTTTTTTTTTAATTTAGTGAACTCCTATTCAGTCCTCAAAACCCAATGCAGGTACCCCTTTGTTCTATAAAAAGTTTCCTAACTCCCTTATATCCCCAGGTAGAATTAGGTAATTCTTCCTTTGGAATCCTGTAGGACTTGGAACATATATTTACTATAGCTCTTAGTACATTGTACTTAGGGTTCTGTGTGTCTATTTCCCCTATATCTTTGAGTAAGGATGACATGTTTAATTTATGTGTCCCCATGTCCCAACACAGTTGCTGCTCAATGGTATGTGTTGAAGGAACAAATCAAAGTCTAAACTCATTAAGGTCCCTTCAGCTCCCAAATTCTTTAAAAGTTCTCAACTCCTTACTCCTCCTTCCTTTTATTTTCCTTGCTGCAGCTTTTTGGTGATACCATTATAAAAGGAAATGTTTATACTTGAAGTGTTAAGAAGAAACAATAAACATTAATTAGGCCCTTTACTGTGTACAAGGCACCTTGCTAAGTGCTTGAACTCAGCTGGGTTCAAATCCCACATCTATCATTTAATAACTGTAGCCTTAAACACCTTACTTCACCTCTTTGTACATAGATCTCCTCATCTGTAAAATATAAATGATGATATTAACTTTCTAATAGTGTTAGTGTCTTGAGTTTGTCATTAGATATATAAAGCACTTGGAATGATGTTGAATACATTGTAAGAGACAAATTATTATTGGCTAGTTTGTTTTAAAGCAATGGTGCTGCCTACATTAAATCCTTTTGATTTTTACATATTTTTTTATAGTTTACATAAATTAAATTTGTATTTTACACATATTAAGTTATTTAATCCTCACAACAACCCCATAAAGTAGATATTACCAATATCCCCATTTTACTAGTAAAGGTGAAAAAACAGATTTAATGTTTAGGACCATGGAGTAATGGTCACACAGTTAGTATGTGTAGGAACCCAGGTTCAGGTCCCTTGGGTCTGATTCTACAGTCTTTGACCTTGATTCCTGCCTATACTATTACTGTTCCTAGGGACATGTTTAGGGTTGTCTTTACTCCCTCTCTTCCTATACCACAACCAGGCCTCACCCAGGGAACTGCCAGTGAGTGTGCAATCAGACAGCCCCAGGATTTCTACTGGATGGCAAAGACCTTAGAAAAATGCTCCCCCAGTCTTCTCATTTTACAAATGGGAGGCCCAGAGATGGGAAGTAGTATACCCAGAATTACACTGTGAGTGAGAGGCTCAGCCAGACACATAGTATATCTTAGTGGATATAATTGATCATTTGCCAATCTCATCAATCAAAAAGTCCCCCAGAGCAAAAGCAAATGTCAGTGTTATTACCTCACACAAGGCTCACAGTAGATGACATAGTTCCTATTTTACACATTGAGAAATAAAGTATCCAGCGTCCTATAGTTGAGAAGTGTCTAAGCTGAAAACCATTCATTCAGCAAATATTCACTAAGGGCCCCCTATCTGCCATCTCAAATGCTGGGATTTGGTGGAGAGAGAGCAAATGAGATATAGTTCCTGTCATCATGGAGATTCCCTTTTAGGAAGAAATGTCAACATTATTTGAATTATCCCAGAAATATATTTAAAGTTTTAATTGTAACAAAATGCTCCAAAATTCTATGAGAGCTTCAAATATAAAAATTGATAGGGATTTAGGGTCAGGGAAGATTTCCCTGTAGGAGATAACACTTAAACTGATATCTGAAGGGTGAATAGGACTGACTAGATGAATAGAGGAAGGAAGAGTGTTCTTGTCAGAGGGACAGCATGGGCAAAGGCCCCTTGGTAGAAGGAAGCATGGTAAGAACAATGGCCTGAAAGGACAGTTTACTGGAGGTAGAATATCAGAAACTCAGTCCCCCAAACCCTTTTGGATTATACATCCTATCCCACCCATAGGGCAATACAGTGTAACAAGGACTAATTCATATTCTCTGACATTCTTTCTTATAGATGTCCCCACTGATGGACAGTGGAATTGCTGGTCAAACTGGTCTCCATGTTTTGGTGGACATAAAACAAGACAAAGGCAGTGCAACAATCCAACTCCTGAAAATGGGGGCAGCCCCTGCTTGGGCCCTGCTTCAGAAACACTTAACTGTTAAGGAAGGGAGAGCTCCTCACAGTAACACTACTGTAGGCTGCACACAGCGAGAGTTCTGAGCTTTAGGAGCTCAGGCAGCCCACCCCACACTAACTGTTCTTCCCCACACTAGCTCCCAGGGAGGCCAGCCCAGGGCTGAAGGGATGCTTAAAATAAAGATCTGAAATGCACGTGACTGGAACACACAGTGAGTTAAATAATTATAGGCTCCTGAGGGGCTTAAGCACCTTGGAAATCCTTACTTCACTGACTTCTACAGTTTTCTTTCACTCACATTTACTGTGTTGATAGTTAATCACTTTGAATTCCTACTGTCTAACAGTGACTGGCATAAGAAAGGGTGTCAAATAATGAATCAATGAATATCTATTAAGTTGCTCCTCTCTTGTGTATACTGTCTCCTTCAGTGATGGTGGCAATTCATAGTTATTGAATGACTAGAGGCCTGGTGCACAAAATTTATGCATGGGATGGGGTTGTCCCTCAGTCCTCTCCAATCTAGGACCCCTTTGGGGATGTCTGACTGCCGGTTTAGGGGTTGGGCCTAAACCGGCAGTCAGACATTCCCCTCGCAATCTGGGACTGCTGGCTCCTAACTGCTCACCTTCCAGCCTGCCTGATCACCCCTAACCACTCTGCCTGCCAGCCTACTCATCCTCAATTGCCCCCCTGCTGGCCTTCTTGCCCCCAACTGCCTCCCCAACCAGTCCGCTCACCCCAACTGCCCCCCCTGCTGGTTTGATCACCCCCAACTGCCCTCCCCTGCTGGCCTGATTGCCCCTAACCTCCTCTGCTTCAGCCCCACCACCATGGCTTTGTCCAGAAGGATGTCCAGAAGGTCTCCCAGTCTAATTTGCATATTACCCTTTTATTAGTATAGTACCAACCACAGTACTTAATTCGTCATCATGTTCATTCATTTTACTTTCATGACAACCTTAAAAGGTGGATGCTACAGATGCGCCCTATTAGCAGGTGTAGCAGGTGGGGGGATTGAGTCTTAGATGAGTGAAGTGACTTGTCCAGGGCTATACAGTTAGCAAGTGGCAGAGTTGGGCTGCAAACCTGGGCACTTGGGTTACAATGTTTTAAACTCATAATTATGGTGCTTCATTCCTCTCAATATATTCAGGCATTTGATTAATGAATATTTTATTAAAACATGGAAGACAGTGCCGTGTGTGTGTGTGTGTGTGTATGCACATGCATATACATGTACACACAAATGAGTGCACTATTAAAAAATCTTCCAGCTATCCTAGAGGCATGGATTCTGGTTCCTCAGTGATCTTGAATGCTGAGCACAGGAAGGGTGTGGTTGTGGATATTGGAAGCAGTTGTTCTGGGTCAGAGCTGAATTGTTGTGAGGTAAGTGGGTATTCAGAGGAGATCCTGAGTTAGAGCTAAGAGCCAGGGAAACTGATCACTACATGAAATACAGTTAAAAAAAAACAAACAAACAAAAAACCAAAGAAAACAAAACAAAACACAAGAATGGAAAAAATTAGAGGAGAGGTTGTGTTGGCCGGAAGAGGAAACATGTCAAGGAGAAATCCAAGTTGATGGTGTGGGGCAATGTGCCACATAAACCTTCCCCATGTCTGTACATTCCATGTGGCTCACTCAGGCTTCTGTGCAAACCCCATTTGGGGGAAGAGGGTATTTGAAAAGAATAAGAAGGCAGTTGATCTTCAGGTTACTAAAAACCAAAATATGTTTACTATTTAGATTTATTCAAGTGATCATGTAATCTTTATTGCCCTCATTTGTTCTATGATATTAAATGACCTCTTAATATTTTCTTTGCTCCTGGGTACTTTCTGACTGATTCTAGAACTTCATGTGAATTTTGAGATCAAATTGGTAGGGAAAAAAATAAGTTAGTGTAAAGTGAATTGGTTCATCTTATTCATTTTCAACAAGATTCTGTTCGTTGGTTGGTTGGGTGGCTTAGTTTTTGCCACATCATCTGCTTTGAGCTTGCCATTGGGGCTCAGTGCTGGGGCCTACGGGCCTTCACATGCCCATGACACCAGCCAGCTCTAGAACTGAACAACCCCCAGAAGGAGCTGATACTTTACTGCTCCGGGGTTGTTACAGCAAGTGAGATGGTTGTCTGCCTTCCTGCATCCCCATGCCCTCTGCAATTGAGCTAATGGCTCTGGGCTTTTTTTTAGTTTAATATTATTTATTTGCTGTCTGCTGTTATTTCAACAGGCTAATCTAATAAGGTTTTATCTCTTTCATTAGACCGGGGCCGTATAATTTTCTTGAGTTATAATCTATCTTCTTTTAAGATTCCCTAGGGACAGGGGAGAGCAGTTCTGTGTTTGGTTGATGGGAGGCTCCCAGGAAGCCCACATCAGCATGTCGAAGCAGGTTTTGCCAAATTAAATCCTGCATCTCAATCACAGCCACCGCTTCTAATGGGAGATTTGAGTTGATTATAGAGATGACAGCCCAGGTTTGTGTTGATTGCATTTAGCAGAAATTGTTTATCCCATTAAATATGGTCTTGAAGGAGGTACAATTGGATTGCGGAGTACTGGCAAATACCCGGGTGACGCCCAGGCGCTGCTAAACTGTGTAATGATTATATTCTTATTTTTGGGCTGAACTTCCCCTCGTGGCTCTTTCTGCAAACAAATGCATTTAGGAGGAGGCTCAAACATAATGTAAGAATTAAACAAAATAAGTACAAACGGGGCTTTTGAAAAACCTTGGCAACGACTGTAGTTCGTACCAGTGTAACCGTGTCAGAGCTACTAGTCCCGAGGGGGCGGGGGGGGGGGGGGGGGGAGGAAGGCACGGTGTAGGTGGTGGCTTGGCAGCAAGCCTGGGAGCTGAGCACAGCACAAGATACCTGGGCATAGGAGAGCTTTGCATCCAAAAGCATGAATTTCTGCAACTCTGTGAGTTCTGCCATGTGCTCAATGGGGGTGGATTGGGATGTGCTCTGAATATATACTTCCTTCCTGTGTGACCTTGGGCTAATCACATAACTGCTGTGGGAATAATAATTATAATTATAACGATAATAATAGCTGCCAATTATGGAGTGCTTTTCAGTTTATGGAGTCTTTTAGCCTACATTATCTCATTTAATCTTTCTCTGAATTTGATGGGATAGATGTCAATGCAATTACCAGCTGACAGGTAGAGTAAGTTTCTAAAGGAAACTGGATCCTTACGATGAATGCACTGACTGTGGAAATCAAGGTGGGGAAGCAGTGGTATGTGTGGGAAATGTGCCAGCAGAAAGAACACCTGCCAGCAGAGAATCCAGAGGAAAATGTCATATTTGTTGTGAAGAGGACTCTGGCCTCTCCCATGCACTTACAAAAAAAAAAAAACAAAAACAAAAACAAAAAAACAGGATAAGTGTGCACCTGGAACAGAAAGCCCTTAGGGTCCTAGCCAGCTCTCCCTGTGACTTCCAGGATTAGCATCTTAGAGAAATATTTTGTTTTGCAGATTGAAGATGTCTGAATGACAGCATGTCTACTCGTCAGTGTTTCCAGGCTTTGCAGTCATTGTACTATAATTTACTAGTTTATCATCTCTCACTCCTTCTCAAATATAATGTCTATGGAGGCAGGCCTAGTGTCTGCCTGCTGCACTCATGTGTCCCCAGCACCCAGTACAATGCCTGGGACACTCAGGCAACAATGAGTAACTGCTGCATGAATGAATGAACTAACAGAAAAAGAGGTGAGTAGAGCCATGGGCTGAGCCAACCCATGTCTCCATACTCAGCCCCACTACACCAAGCTGGCATGGCCATGGGTAAACCTGAGAGGGGGCAGTGAAGGATTTAAAAAAGAAAGAAGATAATAAAGCTGGGTGCTCTGATGGAGAGACAGTACCACAGTGTGCAAGCCAAATCTTTATTTTATAGCTAGACTCCATGAGGCAAAGTAAGGGCATGGTCAAGTCTACTCAGTTACATGTACCTGAATTCTATCAAGCCCACATCACTCAGCCATGTGGAATCACAGGTTCAGAACATAGGTTCAAGCTTATAAATATAGCCTTTGGCTATAATTGTGCTGGGACTTGCACATGGCTTTGCTATGAAAGGATCATACCCTCTCATTAGTCCCATTAATACCTGTCCAAACACCATAGCCACTCTCCACAGGGCCAAGGGCAGAACCTTCAGTGAGAAACTTTAGTGAATTGGTGGCACGTGGTAGAGGCATCATGAAGTTCAGAGTGCAGACGTATGATACTGGGGCAACCTACACAGCAATAGCCATGAGAGGTGCCTTCAGCCAGCATCACAGGCAGCATTGCACCCAGAGTCAAGTAGGAGAGGCCAAAAGCCTATGTTATGTAGGGGCTGATCACACTTGTTCAGGGTATTGGTGACCCCCACTAGGGACTACTAGGAAGCTTCTGGGAAACTTGACAGAGAGCAGAAATGTTGGCAATCATGGCACTGGAGTGACCCGAGAAGCACATTAACAGGTTGGTGAAGAAACCAAGGCTAAACAGGGTTAAGGGGACTGCCCACTATGTGGCAAAGGCAGGAAATGAGTAAAGTGTCACTTAAGAAGACTGTTTTCCAACATTCTGCTTCCACTTTCATTTTCTCATTACAGCAAACCAGAACGCCCACCTAAAACCTAGCAGCAACATTCAGGAATAGAGCACTTAGATCTGTGAGATTTCTGTTTACTGAATGTGAAGTCAGAGTTGTCTGTTTCTCCCCAAGTTGTTTTTCTTTAAAAAAAAAAAAATTATTGATTTTAGAGAGGAAGGGAAAATGAAAGAGAGATAAAACATCAATGATAAGAGAGAATCACTGATCAGCTGCCTCCTACATGCTCCAAACTGGGGATTGAGCCTACAACCTGTGCATGTGCCCTGACCAGGAATTGAACTATGCCATTCTGGTTCACAGGTGGACACTCAACCACTGACCCATGTCGGCTGGGTCCTGAGTTGTCTTTCTTAAATGTTGACCAGATTCCAATACTGAGGCGCTTGGGAACTTAGAGGTGAGTTTACTTAGATGCCCAGGGCAGTGTAACTTCTCAGGCAGACTGGAGACGTGGGGGCTGAGTAGAGAGAGAAGCACTTAGACTTATGTGCCTGGGTGCCAGACTCCTGCATTTGCAACATGCCTGGCGCCAGGACTCACCAGCTTTGTGCTCTTATGCAAATT